ATTTCCTGCTGCAAACCCTCCAATAACTGCTCCTCTCACTATACCTTAAAGCCAGAATGCTTTATGGATGGTCTAATAGATCTTACATGGTCAACCTCAGCCCACATACCACCAGAGATCATATCTTTAACCTTATCTTTCACGGCTCTAGTCCTCCCTCCATCCACTCCAGTCTTCAGCTCCTTCTCACTGGCTCCTACAGAAAATCCTCCAAAACAGGAGCATTTGCACCACTTCAGGACCTTTGCACCACCTGCTTTATCTATCTGAAGCATTCTTTCTACAAATATGTGCTAGGTGCTCTCCCTCATCTCATTCAAATCTTTCTTCAAAGAACATATTCTCATTACCTGATCATCAAATTTAAAACTGTATCCCCCACCAATATATAAACTTTTTCCGTTATTTTTCTACAACATTTAATACCAATAGACATCAAAGATTTATCCCATTTATGTTGTTTTTTTTCCTTATTTCCTTCATTGGAAGCTAAGCCCCCTGACAGAAGGACTTAAGTTTGCGCTGGTAACATCTTTACCCGAACACCAAAAACAGAGCCCATTACAAAGGGAACGGATATACAAAGCACATTTGCTGAACATGAGAAAATTGTCATCTTGAAACTGCCAAAATAAGTTAATGATAGAATGACGACATTTATTTTCATTCACTTTGAATCTACTTGGATGAATACTAGAGTTATTTCTTCAATATTAGCAGGGATTTAAACACCAAGAACCCAGATGGTCAGATATAATAATGAAAGGCATATAGAAATGTGTTTTGGATTTATGCCAATTTGGCAGCAACATCTGAGCAAGCTTCCTCAGTTTGTATTCTTTACAGATTCTCTGTGTTATCTCCCTAAATAGACTGGCTGCTCCTTAAGGAAAAAAAAATGAAAAAGCCGTTTGCAAAATTTTAAATATTGTTTGGTGCATGTGTCTCTGAGCTTACAGCCAATTCAGTTTTTTGAACACTCATTCAATTATGTCTGATCCTCTTTTTTCCATTACTATTTCGATTGATATGCATATAAATGATCTCATTCTATTTAAAGGTCACAATCTTCAAAAACCAGTTCTAATGCTGTTCCATGACAGCAGCAGAAACCCAGACACATGCATTTGGAAATGGTCTGCTGAATCATGAGATAAGGAAAATGTCTAGATTGAGGACAATATCCACTTAGAGAAATGTTTGGTATTTTGGACAACACAATTTTAGAAAGGATTTGAAAATCTTTTACTGGTAAGAAAGAAATGGGTTAACCAGGAGAGGCATTGAAGACTAATTCCTCAATGAATGGAAACACGGAAGCAGCTATTTTTTGGCTTAGAGAACATTGTAAGCTGTGTGTAATGGCAGGAAATGTAAGAGAAAGGAAGTTTGCTCCCACCGACACTGTAAAGAAGTCAAAGGAAAAAGTTTACATCATTCGGAAAACGTCAGTAATAAATAAGATGACGTCATCTGAACTAAAGAAATTTTATTCAATTCTTATGTCTACAATAGGCTTTTTTTTTTAAAGTAAGATAATCTGTTTTTAAATGCTTGCTTTCTGAAGGCAGTAATTTGCCAGTGTTGCCTGACAGAGAACCATTACAGCAAAATATCTAAGACGCAAAAAACTGAGGATTTGATTTGGAAAAATGCAATGAATTTTCCAGTTTTTGGACCAATAAAGAGAAGGGAAAATTAAGATAATTAAAAAAAAAATCTAATTTCAAACCAATGTTCCCTTTTATTTATTCCATTTTTTTTTTTTTTTACTGTTTGATTTATTTTACATCCTACCTGCCCAGGGGAACACTAAGTGCTTTACATTGTTTTATTATATGTTGTATTATATTTAGGCAACAATGCTGAGCAGTTGAAAGGAGGAAATTAAAGTGTCAAGCTGTCAGAGAATAAAACTAAACTGTTTTTTTGCTTACCGAGTAAGGAAGAGCTGCAACTCTGGAGAAAGTTCAGAACATTTTCCTGAGAACTGAAAAAAGAAAGACCAAGGGGAAATATATTCCTTCTTAAAAGGGATAGCATACATTAAGTTCATTTTTTTTTCTCTTTTGGTTGGCTGTTTTTCTGGTTTTCATCATTAAATCACAAGCCCCTATTTCAAGGAGGTTCTCTGGGAGTTATGTAAGGCTCTATAAATATCACACAGTTGGGATGTGGCAGAATTTTCCTTGAAAGGGCAGATAAATTTCTTGCCCCAAGTCACTCAGGTGGCGAGCAGAGGTATTGGAATATGAAACCAGATCGTGTTATTCTGAAGCCCTTGTTTCTGTTTTTGTTGGGTGGTTGGTTGGTGGTGGTGGTTTCCTGTGTTACCATGTTAAACTCTTGGCTTGAAATACTTTGTTTTAAAATATAATCTTATTGCAAAAGAAGACGCAGAGAGAAACTTAAAGCAGTTAGAGTCTTTTGTTCACATTTTATTACCAGCTTTCTTAAAAAAAGAAAGAAAGGAAAGAAGAAAGACAGAAAGACAGAAAGACAGACAAGCAAACAAAAAGCCCACCAAAAGACAATGAATCAGGTAGTGATTGGTTAAATGCAAGTAGAAACATTTAAGTTAATGTGGTTTTGAGGCTCATTCTTTGAATACTGTAAGGAATTCTTCCTAAACAAACCAAGAGGTTGATATAATATTATTCTCATTTATGGATGAAACGTCTGTACAGAGAGCTTAATAACTTGCCTAGTGTCACACAGCTGGAAAGAGACGGATCCCAGAGCTCATCCAGGTGTTCTGACTTCATGCTTCTAGCAATTGCTACATTTCCAAAGGCAATGCTGGCAACAAAGGCTGAGGGTGCTTTAGAGCAACTACAAGTAACTTTGATTCTAATCACAGTGCTTATGAATATGTTTATCATACAAATTTCTTATAACTTTGCAAATAAAGTTAACTACTGGTTCCACATGGGCCTTCATGTATGTTGAGGGTTACTGATCAGTGTTGTCACTCACCCAACCGCATGTGGATTACTTCTCTCTCCATAGGTCATGTCTAAGGAATCCTGTTAGTAAGAAAAGGTGCCCCTGCTCAGACAAACGCATTTGGGTGCCCCAGGCTGCCTGTTGTCCTCATCTGCGTGCTTTGAAATCTTGCCTTCATCCATTGTGGCAAATTGCTTTTTGATGGTCCTCTTACAGTGGGGAGGGTATAGCTCAGGGGTAGAGTGTGTGCTTAGCATGCGTGAGGTCCTGGGTTCAATCCCCAGTACCTCCATTAAAACAAGAATTGGAATTTCTTCTGCTAATTGATGCTATCCTGTATATTTTCATATTACTCATTGTTTTTAGTTATGTTGTCAGTCCACTAGTAGAATTTACAGTATTTTGTGGTGGTAGTGATTTATTAAACATGGAAGGAAATGAAGGCTTTTTATTGCCACCAGTATAAATATCTGAAGTGCCTTTCTGAACATGAATACACGAAAGAAGTCTAAACCTAACTAAAACTATCAGATTAAATTGTAGACAGTCTTGAAACTGTTAATAAACAAAGTGAAGTCTTCGGTTTTGGTTTTTGTTGGCTTGAGATTGTATTAGGTACAAAAACATACACAGTACATATACTTAATAGGTACATGATCTAATCTACAAAAACGAACTTTCTCTAATGATATTCCTGCGTGTCTTACTCCATTTTAGGTTTATTCAGAATAATACAGTAATCAAAATTGGTCATTCTCTACCACCTTATCCCAATATTATTACATAGGAGAAGTAGACACTTTGTATCCAAAACAGCAGTTTATGAAATTCATTTTATTCTCATCTGCCAAGAGTCTGAACAAAATTCAGACAGAGCATTAGTCTGCCAAGTTTTATTTTTGCCTTATTTTTAGTTTCATTTCAGTTATATTAAACTGAGTAAGAAAAAAAAAATGCCCTTCAAGGGCCTCCTATGAGGGCGTATAGCCCTTGCAACTCTCCTGATCTGGACAGGTGTGGCTTTATTCCAGCTGCTTCTCCTTAGGTGTCTAGTCTCTTCAAGTGACCTACTGGGTAGGACCCGGTACACCTCCGCTGGCTTCTCTTCCATGAGGTCTCGTCTGTTTCTCAGGCAACGTTCATGCATCACTGTCCCTGTAGTCATGGGAGTGTTGTCCAAGCCCATTACAACACCACTTCCTTGCCTTTGCCCCAGAGCATCTGCACCCTTGTCCTCAGTTTCCCAGGCAGGATCCAGATCCTGGCCCACTGTTCCCGGCTGCTTGGAGAAAGCAAGCTCTCTTAAGAGCTCCTGTGAAATCCTCTCATTAACTGGAGGATAGAAAGTAGCTTCCATCACCATTTCCCCAAGTGAACATGGAGATTCTCAGTGTAGCCATGCTTCTCTGCAAGTCAGCGTCTACTCTCTTTTAGTCCTGTAGTGAGTAAGAGTGGGCAAGGATCTTGAAATGGGTTTTCTTTGAAAATCTGCACAGAAAGTTTTAGAATTTCACTTAAGAATTTTTTTATCCATTGATCTTGATGTTAGGATGAAACTTTAATGTTAACCACCTTCTCTAGTTGTCAGAAACAGTATTTGCTATTAGAGGCAAAGAAAGGAGAAGAGAGAGATACCTTTCTTCCTGAATATTCATGCTGTGTTCATAACTCGGCGATGGCGTCTTCACGTGGTTGTCGGATTTAATCATCGCAACAGTTCCAAGGGATTGGAAATTTTATGCCCAGTTTACAGAGAAGGAAATTAAGTTTCAGAGAGTAGCGTTTTTAAGGCCACACAGGTACCATGGAAATAAAAATAATGTGGCTGGAAAACTCTTGCTTTTCCTGCTCCATTACTGCAGCTAAGACATACAAATCTAATTTCTAGTGTCAGCCTAGGACTGCCCAGTGTGTTTCTCAAATAGTAACTTCCTTTTGTAGACCTGAGTTTAAGAATGTTTGAGATCATTTCTATTGCTACTGAGTTTGAACATAGCGCAAAACCTTAACATTGGCTGAGTCTTAAAATACATGTTTAAAAATTTTTTTTTCAGACAATAGATTTTGAAGGTTTCAAGTTATTTATGAAGACATTCCTGGAGGCCGAGCTGCCTGATGACTTCACAGCCCACCTCTTCATGTCTTTTAGCAACAAGTTTCCTCATTCTAGTCCAATGGTAAAAAATAAGCCCGCTCTCCTGTCAGGTGGTAAGTTTAATTACATACTTCAAAAATGTGTGTATTGCACAAACCTGAAAGGGAAAAGCCAGTATCACGTTCTCTCTAAGAGAGAGATGATTTGCTTAAAAATTATGTTTGTTGCAGGATTTATGCTTTCATACTAAGATTGAGTGAAGTATTTAAAATATCTCCAATAGAATAATAGCTAAATGAGAGGAAATATACTTTATCACTATTCATTACTTGTCATTCAGTGTCTTTGAGGTCTGTGTTTGGGTCATAATTTTTGGGGGTACTTCTGTCAAACATGGGAAAGCACTCTTTTAAATGACACATATATATCTATACGTAGTCACAAGGCAGTTGTGTGTAGAAAACGTAATATTTAGTATTATCTGTGCAGATCCCAATATACTTTCATATTTTGAGATTTGTAAGCTCAGAACAGAGTTTTTTGGGGGTTTTTTTCTCTTAGATACTTAATTAAATTTCTGTCACTATAGAGATGGTTGGTTCTCTTACTGTGTGTAGCTTTGCAGGCAGGTCTAATGCATCACTGCCTGTTGCTAACTGTATCACTCTCCATGCAATCAGGGAAGCAGGAATCTCGCTGTGTAACTTTAGGGCATGTGAACTGGGAAACTGGTCAAACGGAGTTGGAGAGTTGAAAAGGCAGAGGTGAATACGGAGGTTTGCAGAGACAGAACCTCAGGAAGCACTTACCTCCTCCAGGCTGGAATAATCAAAACCCAGAAGCCCGGAGGAAGCACCTGTTGGAGCTGGGAGACAGAGTTTGAGCAGGATGTTGCCCGGTAGAGCTCACCTCAGGACTCCTGTGGAGGCAATGCTTCCTGATAGGTGTTGGCAGCTCAGGAGCTCCAGGGGGAGCCTGCAGCCCTAGAAGTCAGACCTCTTAGCGGCGTCACCATGGTGTGCAGGACCATATGGCAGGAGCTCACTGTGCCTTCTCGGTGTGGCAGTGAGCTGGAGAGGAGAGCCTGTTGCTACTGGAAGCGGGTGCTGCAAAGATGGAAGCCTGGAAAGATCTAATAGTAGGTTCAGGTCGACCAGCAGGAACCAGTCCCTTCTCCCTCCTTCCTTCCCATCTCTCTCCAGTGACCCAACGTGTTTCTGTCTGGCTATGGAGAAATGTCATATATGGCAGTGCTTCTCACACTCTTTGATCTCAGGACTCTTTGAGGCTCTTGAAAATTATTGAGGACCCCAGAGTGCTTTTGTTTGTATCTGTGATATCAAAGGTGAAACATTCTAAAAATAACAGTCAACCCATGGGATGTTACCAAAAATCACATCTTTATGAAAAGTGACTGTTTTAAAAAATAAAACAGTTAGTGAGAAGACCGGCATTGTTTTACAGTGCTGCAAATTCTTTAACATCCAACTTCATAGAAGACAGCTGAGTAGCCGTGTATGCTTCTGTGTTGTCAGATCATATGTTATGTAGCCTCTTGAGAACGCCACGGTACACTCAGGAGAGAATGAGAGTGAAAAGCAAATGATACTTCAGAAGTGTCATTGATAACCATTTTGAGTTTACAAATCCCCTGCAAAGGGCCTAAGGATCCCAGGGGAGCCACTGGCCTAGCGACTTCCAGCCCTAACATCACAAAGGAGAATATGAAAATGTGGGTAAAGAGATGATGAAAATTTTAATAACTGACCCTCTGATACATAAAAAGTTTAAAACATGTCATTAACAAATAGGTGATATGTATAACCGAATCACGATGCTGTACACCAGAAATTAACACAACATCATAAATCGACTGCACTTCAATTTAAGAAAAAAATAAAGAAATAGGTGTTTGAGCCATGAGCAACACTTGGGCAGTCTGATAAAGAGTCCCACTGTTGTTCCACTTCTCCTTCTGTTCGTGGAGTGTTTCTCCTACAACAATCACATGTTGCTGCAAGCTTTCTGAAGCAGATATACACCTTCCATATGCTCCATCTTGGTCCCTGCAAAATATAGAACAGTTATTTTGTTTATAACCTTTAGCTACTGATGCAGTATTTTAGTTCCTTAAGGAATCCCCCTTTTAACATGAGTTGAGAGGACGCCCCACACCGGCTGTTCTTGTCCGGTTTTTTGTTTTGTTTTGTTTTGTTTTGTTTGTTTGTTTCTTTTTTTTTCCTGGGGAATAAGGACCACAGGACAATAATAAAATTTTTCAAGGCCTTGACTCAGAAACTGAAAAAAATCAGTATATTTTTATTCCTAGAAACTTGCTTTACAGTAATCTAAGTTATCTACACACGATGTACGCATGGTTGAAAAGTCACAATCATTTCTGAATAAAGAGGTGCTGTAATCTGCTTCGTGTAGCCTGTGTAAGAGCTCACCGTGTTTCATGGCCGCAGCGCCGTCAGGAATATGGTAGCCAGTCTTGATCCTGCACATCAGCTGAGCAGTGAGGGTTTCTCAATAAAAGGAAAAACTTTTTGAAAGAAAAAACTATTTTTTTCTTGTTAATGAACAATAATAAAGTATTTGGTAAAAGTAAAGCATTTAGTTTTTATAGAATAAAATATTTTTAAATAATTATAAATAGTTATAAAGGTTGTGTGTGTAGGTAGCTGTGTTTTGTTGAATTTGTAAAATCTAATGATCCATCTGGCACTTCCTGTGGTGGATGATATATTGTTTGGAACATTTGTTGCAGTTCAGTGTCTCTTGTCACCTACTTAAATATAAGATGATTAATTCTGCTGCTCCCATGCTGGACTTTTAATGTTTGAATTTATCTCCAATGTACCATCTTCCCAGCTTTCTTACAACCTCTCCTGGTTCATTGTACCTCCCAGGTCCCTAATTGTTCACCTCTTTGCTAGTCCAATGGCCAATTTCTGATCTTACCTTCATCCCTAGAATCTAACACTTAAATTATTATCTTTATAGAATTGTTCAATCATTTGGAACTTTTTTTTTTTCTGTAAGTGGCTCACAAACCCTGAACCATGAATCAATATTATGATCCTATATTTCAGTCCCTACAATTTGAACAGGGAGAGATCTCATAAATATGCAGATTGTCGCCACTGTAGATTGCTAACACCCACTATTAACACAGCTTTAACCCTTCTTCAGCTTTTAAAAAAACCTATTCTGTGAAGTAGTTTTTCTTCATACTGTCTCTTAGGTCCGCTAGGTTCAACTTTTCAAACCTCCTTTCGTGTCTTCCTATCTTTCCCCTCACTTTCAACAGATGACTTTTTTTTTCGTATCATACCAAAAAAAATAAGCACTGTCTTAACATAAAACGCCTCAATTATTTCCCACACAACCCCAAACTGTTTCAGCAACTCACGGAGAATACACATTAACTCTATTCCAGATGGAGCTCTTCATCTGAGTGTTCATAGGGCATCAAGCTAAATGCATCTGGAAGTCAAATGATTATGTTCTGCCCAAACCTGCCTCCGTTCCTGTCTTCTCTCCTGGTAAATGGAACCCAAGTATCTATTTATTTCCCAGCCCCTAAGTTGTGGCCTCTTCCTCCCTTTCACTGCCTCACTCCTCATATTTAGTTAATTACAAAGCGCTCTCTGTCACTCTTGGCAACTTTTTCTCAAACATTCTACCAGTGTCGGTTTGACTCATCACTGTTTGTGTCCTCGACTGTCGGTTAGCACGGCTCCCAGCCTTGCCCTGACTTCCCATCTGCGAAATGCTCCTGCCATCACAAAAGCCTGGTTATGGTAGTCCTGAGTTCCCAAGTTCTGGCTTTCATAGGCACCTTGCAGAAGGGTTTTTAAACTTTAATTTTCCAAGTAAGCTTAAATCCTTGATATATAAATCCGATTAAAGCAGCGCTGCTTTGCTTTGAGGGGAGGTGCAGGGAAAAAGTACAGGAGTCTTTGTGACTCTGCCTTCCCCTGCCTCCGGAGACACCCCCTCCTGAAGTGCCCTTAGTGAGACTTCAGAGCCTCAAAAGCATCTCTATTAAGAAGATGATAAAATCTGAGTTCCGCAGCATTAGACACATGCCAATGCAGGACGGGGAGTCTGCCTACCGTCCTCATTCTCTCTAATTCTCTGCCTCTTTGCCCCATGCACCCATGCCCTTTGCATATCCGACTGTTTGCTGTGGCTTAAAACCTGGCTTCTTTCTCCTTGCTCAGGACTTTGCTTTTCTGCATGGTGTTTCCCCTGCCTATTTCACAGCACAACCCATCTCCTCCAAGCCTCAGCTCATGCTTCACTCTAATTCAGTAGCACGGGCTGTGTTCCATGCTAGGAAGGCAGTCGTCAGTCCGATGGGATACTTAGCGAGTGCATCTGGGAAGCACCCCGACATCCTTGTAAAAGTCACACCATCTTCCTCTCAGGACAGCTGGTACACCCCCCCCCAACTCCCACCTATGACAGTGGCCGCACAGAAACTCCTGGACTCAACCCTCTTCAGCTAAATTTTTTTTTTTACTTTTTGTATAAGATAGCAATTAACAGCAGTTATTAATAACAATGACTTTCTCTAAGAATATGACAATTAGAAGAGAATGGAATATGATTTATTAGCTGGTTCAGACGCTCATACTGTATATGGCTGTTGGGCTCCCCCGTGTCTAAAACATTGACTCTGTAATAATAAACATCTGTTTATTAGCCATAGGTCAGTATAAGAGTTTTTGTTGTTCTTTCTTATTAGCTGCTTTATTGGGTACAAAGAGAAGATTTTCATAGCACCCCTTAAATCAGATCGTGTAGTGAGTTGACCATTTAATTCTTCATTTTATTATTTTATTAATCCATGCACCTGGCCATTCACTTTTTTAAACACACTGTGTGCCAGGAATTCCACAAGAAAGCTGAGGATCCTTTAGAGCCAAGGAGAAAAGCAGACAGTTAGGCGATCAGTTATATGAGAATAAAGTAAGTGCTGTGCTCTGTTTATCAAGAGCATCTGACTGAGATTTTAACCACAAATTGAAATTATCTAGATTAAGTCGAGGTAGGGGCAGGTGCAGATGGGAGTGGAGTGGAAGGGAGTTCCAAGAAGAGAAAG